AAGTAAGATAGGTCTGACAATCTGATTGCATATGCGCATAGAGGAAAAACGTACTTGCCAAATTCGCGTTTCAATCTTTGCTTCACTCATGCTCTGTTTTGGAGTCAAATGGGCAAACTGGAGGCCTGTCATATCGAGGACTACGCCACAACCACATATCTGAGTCAACTCGTCAGTCAACACGCGATCCTGATCCATGTAAGATAAACGTCGCAGTAGGGCGTGGTTTTCCATGTCCATTATCCACAAGGCTAAGCGGGTACAAATACACCGAGAATAATCATTTACATTGAGGAAATATGTTATCACGAATCGTCTATAACCTGTTCTAAGTGCAGACACTTGAGTGCAAAACGCTTCAGGCAACTAATATGTTTACATAATTTTTAACACACCTTGTGTCAGTGCATAGTTGAGTAGTGAAGATTCGTTGAACCTTTTCAACTATAAGTGATAGTCTTATGTAAACCTGCTTCTTTTCTACTGTAACAATTTACCCCCTCCTGTTTCTGGACTTCCTGTTTTTCAGCGTTGTACCAAAAAGTCCATACATTTCGCAGGGAAACTTAAAGTAGGAATTCGAATATATTTGAACTGTACCATCACTACGGATTTTATATATTGTTTCACTGTGTTCCCCAGCTAAAACATTAAATTCGCATCCATCCCACAGCTACTTGTGAAAGCCGTTGTGCGATAGGTTAGGTTGATTAGTACTGCTTATCCTTTACACTCTATTTTTACGCGATAGTGGAGTGGGGCAGCATTCGTGGTCCGTTTTAGTTTCATATCACAATCAACTTCCATATCAGAGGAGTCCTGCTGTTATAATTCCAGAAGGCGGTGCTTTTCGAGGATAGTCGTTTATTGAGGATCACAAATGGGACATCACCAATTTGGCATACATAACACAAAAATCTAATCGGAAACATACCATTGCAATTTCTGGCCACGTGAGGAGTAATGAATCGATAGTTCTTCTTTGAGATCCAGCAAATTGCCCTCAGTGATCTTGTTGATTTTTGGTCGTTGACAGTAATCACCAACTACGTTACCTACTACTCACAAGTTAGTAGTATCTCCCAACACTGTGACGCATGCTTTGTTCGTTTCCGGATTTATTAGTTACGATTAGCTAAGGAACCATTTAGGACGTGATTAATGCTTTTCTAAAATTAGCCAGAGTGATATTTTGTTCTCATGCGTCCTTGTTAGTCCATACATCGGAGAATTATTCGTTCGAGTAATAATAATATGTAGTTAGATAAGCTGTGATGTAATACCGGAAGCACCGGAAATATGTGTTTTGGGGATATCATTTTTCAAAACCTTATTGTTGCTATTTGTATGTTGGTTTATTATACGACTATTTTGAAAATGTGATTGTGGTGATCTGGGCCTACGAGATGACGCGTACCCTGGAGCGACGCGTTACAGATTTTGGACAACTGCGATCAATCAAACTTGACGTCAGCAACGCGCGTACGTGTCATCGCT